ATTTCCTTGGTTAACATTATCCCCAGATATTTGATGCTGTTTTTGGCTATTGTAAAGGGTGATGTTTCTCTGATTTCTTTCTCAGTCACTTCATCATCTGTATATAATAGGGCCACTGATTTTTTTGAGTTTACCTTGTATCCTGCCACATTGCTGAAGGTGTTTATCAGCTCTAGGAGTATCCTTGTGGAGTTTTTTGGGTCACTTATGTAAACTATCATATCATCTGCAAATAGTGAAAGTTTGACTTCTTCTTTTCCTATTTGTATCCCCTTTATCTCCTTTTGTTGTCTTATTGCTGTAGCTAGAACTTCAAGTACAATATTGAAGAGATATGGAGAGAGTGGACAGCCTTGTCTTGTTCCTGATTTTAGAGGAATTGCTTTGAGTTTCTCTCCATTTAGTTTGATGTTAGCTGTTGGTTTACTGTATATTGCTTTTTATTATATTCAGGTACATTCCTGTTATCCCTGATCTCTCTAGGACCTTTATCATGAAGGGGTGCTGGATTTTGTCAAAGGCTTTTTCAGCATCTAGTGAGATGATCATGTGGTTTTTCTTTTGCAGATTGTTAATATGGTGGATTACATTGATAGATTTTCTAATGTTGAACCATCCCTGCATTCCTGGGATGAAGCCTCCTTGAGCATGGTGGATGATTTTTCTGATGTGTTCTTGAATCCGGTTTGCGAGTATTTTATTGAGTATTTTTGCATCGATGTTCATGAGGGAAATTGGTCTATAGTTCTCTTTCTTAGTTGTGTCTTTGTGTGGCTTGGGTATCAAGGTAATTGTAGCCTCGTAGAAAGAGTTTGGCAGTGTGCCTCCTGCTTCTATTGTGTGGAATACTTTGAGGAGTATTGGAATTAGCTCTTCTTTGAATTTCTGGTAGAATTCTGCACTGAAGCCATCTGGGCCTGGGCTTTTTTTATTTGGGAGACTTTTGATGACTGCTTCTATTTCATTAGGGGTTATAGGTCTGTTTAGATTGTTTATCTGTTCTTGATTTAGTTTTGGCAAGTGATATCTATCCAGGAAATTGTCCATTTCCTTTAAATTTTCAAATTTTGTGGAGTGCAGATTTTCAAAGTATGCCCTGATGATTCTCTGGATTTCCTCAGAGTCTGTTGTTATGTCCCCTTTTTCATCCCTGATTTTGTTAATTAGCATGCTCTCCCTCTGTCTTTTGGTTAGTTTGGACAGAGGTTTATCTATTTTGTTGATTTTCTCAAAGAACCAACTCTTTGTTTCATTGATTCTTCTCAGTGTTTGTCTGGTTTCTACTTGATTGATTTCAGCCCTCAATTTGATTATTTCCTGGCGTCTGCTCCTCCTGGGGGAGTTTGCTTCTTTTGTTCTAGAACATTCAGCTGTGCTATTAATTCTCTAGTATGACTGTTCTCCAGTTTTTTCATGTGGGCACTTAGTGCTATAAACTTTCCTCTCAGCACTGCTTTCAAAGTGTCCCATAAGTTTGTGTATGTTGTGTCTTCATTCTCATTGAAATCGAGGAAGTCTTTAATTTCTTTTTTTATTTGTTCCTTTACCCAGGGATGGTGCAATTGTGCATTGTTCAATCTCCATGAGTTTGTAGGGTTTCTGTGATTTGTGTTATTGTTGAATTCTAATGTTAATGCATGGTGGTCTGATAAGATGCAGGGGGTTATTCCAATTTTTTTGTATCTGTGGAGATTTGCTATGTTTCCTATTATGTGGTCAATTTTAGAGAAGGTTCCATGTGGTGCCGAGAAGAAGATATATCCCTTTGTATTTGGGTGGAATGATCTATAGATGTCTGTTAAACCCAGTTGGGTCATAACTTCTATTAGTTCTTTTGTTTCTTTGTTAAGTTTCTGTCTGGGGGTCCTGTCTAGCCGTGAGAGCGGAGTGTTGAAGTCTCCTACTATTAGTGTGTGAGATTTTATGTGCATTTTGAGCTTTAGTAATGTTTCTTTCACGAATGTAGGTGCCTTTGTATTTGGGGCGTAGATGTTTAAAATTGAGACTTCGTCTTGATGTATTTTTCCTTTGATGAATATGAAGTGTCCTTCTTCATCTCTTTTGATTGATTTTAATTTGAAGTCTAATTTGTTAGATATTAGGATTGCTACACCCGCTTGTTTCTTGGGACCGTTTGATTGGAAGATCTTTTCCCAACCCTTTACTCTGAGATAACATCTGTCTTTGATGTTGAGATGTGTTTCTTGTATGCAGCAGAAGGAAGGGTTCTGTCTTTGTATCCATTCTGCTAGTCTGTGTCTTTTTATAGGCAAGTTGAGGCCGTTGACATTGAGGGATATTAATGACCATTGATTGGTGATCCTTGTTTGTGCTTGATTTATTGTTAGTGAAGCTATTTTGTGTAGTTTCTCCTCCCTTTTTCTTTTGGTGTTTTGTAAAGTGTGATTATATATTGCCTGTGTCTTTGTGAATGTAGTTATCTTCCTTGGCTCTAGGTTTTCCTTCTAGCATTTTCTGTAGAGCTGGATTCATGGATACGTATTGTTTAAATCTGGCTTTGTCATGGAATATTTTGTTTTCTCCATCTATGGTATTTGAGAGCTTTGCTGGATATGGTAGTCTGGGCTGGCATCCTTGTTCCCTTAGCGTTTGTAGGACATCTGTCCAGGATCTTCTGGCTTTCATCGTTTCCATTGAGAAGTCAGGTGTAATTCGGATAGGTCTGCCTTTGTATGTTACTTGGCCTTTTTCTTTAGCTGCTCTTAATATTTTCTCTTTACTCTGTAGGTTTGATGTTTTGATTATTATATGGCGAGGTGACTTCTTTTTCTGGTCCAGCCTATTTGGTGTTCTGTAAGATTCTTGTATTTTCATAGGCATATCTTTCTTTAGGTTAGGGAAGTTTTCTTCTATGATTTTGTTGAATATGTTTTCTGTACCTTTAAGTTGAATTTCTTCACCTTCTTCTATACCTATTATTCTCAGGTTTGGCTTCTTCACGGTGTTCCATATTTCCTGGATATTTTGTGTTAAGGATTTGTTGGTTTTGAGATTTTCTTTGGTTGACGACTCTATATCCTCTAATGAGTCTTCAACACCTGAGATTCTCTCTTCTATCTCTTGTATTCTATTGGTGATACTTGCATCTGTAGTTCCTGATCATTTACCCAGCTTTTCTATTTCCAGCTTCCCTTCATTCTGTGTTTTCTTTATCGTTTCTATTTCAGCTTTCAATCCTTCAACTGTTTGAGTTGTTTCCTTAATTTTTTTTGGTTGTTCTTTCTTGGTGCTCTTTAGATTCTTGGAGAGATTTGTTTATTTCTTGAATTTTCCCCCCATTTCATGGATTTTTTTTGTTTGTTTTTTTCTTCTATTTCTTTATGGGATTTCCTCGTTTCTTCTTTGAGGGTCTCCATCATCTTCATGAAATAATTTTTAAGGTCTGTCTCCTCTTCTTCGTCTATGTAGTACTTTTCGGGTCTTGCTGGTGTTGGATCCCTGGATTCTGGTGGGGTCATGTTGGTGTTTCTATTGCTGAGTGATCTCTTTTTTTTTTTTAACAAAAGCAATAAAAAAGTTAATTTTAATAACATTTAATTTTTCCATTATTCCAGTGCTTTGATATTGTTATTTTACTATTTTGGAAAGTCATTTAGCTGCTCATTTTGGTTACTTAAATCTGTGCAACAAAAATATCACAAACTGCAGTGGCCCAACACAACTTTGCATTCTGTCCCCAGTTTCTGTGGGTTGTGATTTCAATGGGGCACAGAGGAGAAAGTTCATCTCTACTCCATTGAGCGACAGTAAAGGTCTTGAAGCTGAGGTTGAGAGGTTCAGGGACAGTAGGACCTAGGCTATGGGGATCCTTGAGTGTCTCTCTTTAGGCTGAGTGGTCTCTTATTCTGTCTTCTTCCCATCTCTTCTTTCAGTGGGTGCTGGTGGGGTCTTTCCATCTCCACTGGTCTCCTTCCTTCCTGCAGCTGAAGCTGGGGATGCTGACACGGAGTTTGGGTCCTGGTAGGGCTGATGTCTTTCCTGAAGCTGGTCTCACTGGGGTTGGGGTCTTGGAATTGTTGACTTCTTTGCTGTGTGGGCAGGTCTCCTGAAGCTGTACTCGCTGGGGTTGGGGTCTTGGAAGTGCTGATGTCTTTCCTGAAGCTGTACTCGCTGGGGTTGGGGTCTTGGAAGGGCTGATGTCTTTCCTGAAGCTGGACTCGCTGGGGTTGGGGGCTTGGAAGGGCTGATGTCTTTCCTGTGTGGGCGGGTCTTCTGGATGCCAGGAGCTGCCCGGAAGATCAAGGGGGATGGGTGATGGGCGGGCGGTCCCCGCCTGAGACCCAATCTCACCTGAAGCTGGACTCGCTGGGGTTGGGGTCTTGGAGGGGCTGATGTCTTTCCTGTGTGGGCGGGTCTTCTGGATGCCAGGAGCTGCCCAGAAGATCAAGGGGGATGGGTGATGGGCGGGCAGTCCCCGCCGGAGACCCAATCTCACCTGAAGCTGGACTCGCTGGGGTTGGGGTCTTGGAGGGGCTGATGTCTTTCCTTGACAATAAATATTTTAATAAATAAAACCATCTAAAACGTATCAGTGGGGAACAATTTCAGGGGGGGAACAATACAGATAATTTTCCAAAAAGACATCCCCCAACCTTTGTAATAAATTTGTTAGTATATGATATATTTGTGTGTGTGTGTGTGTGTGTGTGTGTGTGTTTGTGTGTGTGTGTACGTGAGTGCATGTACACAAATCCTGGAAACCTGACATGAGAGTCAGAGGATGACTTTCAAGCATCACTTTTCTTCTTCTACCATATGGGTTTGGGATTCAAACTCAGGTTGTGCCCTTATCTGCTGAGCCCATCTCAGGAGCCCTGGTTTTGTTTTGTTGTTGTTGGGTTTTTGTTTGTTGTTTTGTTTTAGGATTCAAGGAAAAACATATCTTGTACACTGTAGATGTTGAGTTAATATTTGTTGACTGACTAAATAGTTCTCAAATTGAAATCTCACTTTGTAACTCTGTCCTTTCAATCCCCCAGCTGAGAAGGGCACCTGGGGAAGTCTGCTTCCCTGGAGGAAAGAGAGACCCGATGGACATGGATGACACAGCCACTGCTCTCCGTGAAGCCCAGGAGGAGGTGGGGCTGCATCCCCACCAAGTGGAGGTGATCTCTCACCTGGTGCCATATCTGATCGATGTAAGGACAGTCGTGGGACCTCCTGAGCTGCTAGGGGGCTCTACATTGGATCCAACATAATTCTAGAAGTGCTGTGCACTGAGACAGGATAACTGGGTCCTTGTGTAGACTTGGTCCTTCATGAGCTCTGTGGCCCTTCTCACGCCATCCAGAAAGAAAGAGGGAGCTACCTCAATGATTTTCAAACTGGGTGCCACGGAATACTGAGTATACTCAGATTGCTCCTGTGTGCTTTTCTCCAGCATACATTTATTTTGAGAATTCAGTAAAAAAATAATATACTATTGTGAAACATATTAGATGGTATCCCTTTGGAGGGACCCAATTTTTTCTGTTTACTCTAATGTCGCTTGGTTTAGTGCACACCTTGGGATAAAGAGGCCTCTTGTCAAAGAACTAGGGAGCTTTTTATCCTTGCCTCATCTTACACACCACACTTCATGTGATTGTCAGGTCGCTGTGGTCCTTGGGTCTGTGATTATTTCTCACACTTCATGTTATCAAGAACCTGGCAGTTTTAAGCTATACCAGACATTCTTCAGTTCAGGTTATGGATTTAATAAAAAAGGCTATTTTTATTTATTTGTATGTGGGTGGTGGTGAAAGTGTCTGGAGGGTCCTTCAGAGGACAAAAAGAGGGTGTCAAGTCCACCAGAACTGGAGTTTATAGGTGGTTGGGACTGGAGTTATAGACTGTTGGGAGCCACCTCATATGAATTCTGAGAACTCCACAAACTCTGGTCCACTGCAAGAGCAGCATGTGCTCTTGACTGCTGAGTGAGCTCTCCATGGTTAGACTAGAGTCACAATTTGGGAAAACAAGATCATCTGACAAGATGCTTAAAAACTGCCGGTGTTTGTCACTGCATTCCTGTGAGTCAGGACTTCCTTATTCCCATAAACCGAACAGCATAGGAAAACCTGGAGCTGGGATAGTGGGATCTCATTGGCTGTTGTACTGTAGCAAAGTCATCGTTGTGCAAATGGACTTTAGGAGTCACTTGCTGATTCTTACTGGTATACTAGCATTATCTCATCAGTATAAATGTACTGTAACCTTTTAAATGCATGTCCAGAATGATGACAGATTAGAAGTCATCTGGTCTCATGGCCCCACACCCAATGTCTTCCATGGTTGATGCTTGACATAGCTGTAGTACATTGGTCACAACTATGAAACAGTTTTAGAACACTATTATGAACTAAACCCACACTTTTTTTTACTACTTTTCCTATTGTCTTGCCTTATGCCCTTGATCCTATCCTATACACCAGATTGTATACAGTTGTCAGATCTCTTAGTCCTTGTGACAGTTTCTCCTACTACATTCATCATGACTATGGCAGTTTCAAGGTTTATCATTCATGCATTTTATTCAGTGTCCTTGAATTTGAGTTTCACTGATGTTATTCTCATGATTAAGCTCGTGTCATAGTTTGGGAGAGGAAGACCACAGCTTTGGGTGTCCTTCCCACATATCCACAGAACTAGGTATAAATATTTTACTATTCTATGCATTGAGCTTTCAAGCAAAATTTATACTAAAACAATACTGCCACCAGTGCCTAACAGTTGGAAAATGAGGGGGTTTAGATTATCTTCTAATAGGGGTGATTTTCAATTAATTTCTGCAAATCCCCCAACACATTTTAAGGAGTTTAAAACTCTATTGATTCATTGAACTAGTTCGAAATTTCTCAAACCAGAGTAGCTTCGTCTCTACAGTCCCTGAGAGCTACTGATTTTTTTTTTGTGGGTGGTTCAAATAATGGAGTTCACATATGCCTCAGGCAGCTTTCTCTTACTCTAACAAATACATGAGCTAATCACCTTATAGGGTATGATGACTAATTCTAAATGTCAAATTGCCACAACCTAGAATCACCTGAGAAGAGCACCTCAACTGAATTATCTAGATCAAATTGGCCTGTTGTCTGTCTGTCTGTCTGTCTGTCTGTCTGTCTGTCTGTCTCTCTCTCTCTCTCTCTGTGTGTGTGTGTGTGTGTGTGTGTGTGTGTGTGTGTGTGTGTATGTGTTTGGGCAGGGGCATGTCTTAGTAGTTAATGGATGCAGGAGTATTCTGCCCACTGTGGGCAGTACTGTCCTCTAGGCAGGTGGTTTTGTGCTGTATAAGAAAGCCACTTAAACATAAATCAGCCTGTGAGTCAACAAACAGCATTATCCATTGTTCCTACTTCACCTCTTGGCTGTAAAGTGAATTCCTTTCTCAGAAGCAATCCTGTGTGGAATAGTAAGCAACCCCTCCTTTGAGTTCCTACCTTGTTTTCCCTCAGTGATGGACTGTGATTATAATTGTGAAACAAATAACCCCCTCTCCCCCAAAGTGACTTTTGGTTACTATATCATCACAGCAATAGAAATGAAACTAGAACATAGTAGGAAGATTTGGTTCCGCTCATAGTTCTTGAGGTTTGAGCCCATGGTTAGTTGACCCCATTGTTTTGGGACTGTAGTAAAGTACCTCATTCTGGCACACCCTGTTGGAGTTCTCTTGAGACCTCTTCATCCATTCCTCCCTCCCACTATGCATTTTGGGTAGCCAGCAGCTCTCTGCTAAGGACTCACTGTTGGGTGACTGGAGATGGCTAAAGTGGGATATCCCACACAGAGGCTTAGAAGTGTTGGGCTGACTTCTTGCAAAACTGTCCTCCACCAGCATCTAGGGCTGAGCCTGAAAACCCAGCTCCTTTTTTCTACCTGGGGTGTCTTCCACAACATGCTGCTGCTCTCTTCGCCAAGCTGTTGCACTCCTTCCTTAGCCCCTCACCAGTTTCTCCTGGTATCACCTCAGTCTTCAGCTCACCATTTGCTCTGGGAAACCTGTGACCTCCAACAGTGAGCCCTTATGCAGGACCCAGTGTGGCTGAAGCTCTTTGTGACCTATGACCTCAGATTTATTACCCTAAGGCTATTTAAGGTCTATGTTCCCCTCATCTCCTCTCTAGCCAAAGGTTGCTATTCACCATGGATGCAATTAATAGCAGATCTGTTTTCATTCTGAAACCTTTGGCTGCCTCCCTCCATGAGAGGTTTCCATAAGCCTGTTTAACTTTCTCTAGACTTCCCCCTTACAATGTACTTCCCTCTGGCTTCCCAAAGCCTTTCTTATGGCCCAGGAACTTCAAACTGGAGATCATATCTATGTGCAGTCCCAGCCTCTTTTGTAGACTTTCCAGTAGAAGTAAAGACACTCCATCAGCAAACTCTGAGTCATTTTATAAGAATTTGCGCTCATAAATAAAACTAAACTCTTCACAAAACAAAAACGTATGCTATAAAAATATAGTTTATAAGCAATTCTATGTCTTACAGCTTTGAGTATGTATTTTCCCTAAATATAAGTATGCCACAAGTAATATGTCATTTTCCTGTTGATAAGACATCATACCTCTGTCCTTACCAAGATGAAGAGGTATGTGACATCATTCCAGATGCTAACACAGGTGAAACATATCTGTTACATGGGGGACATGAATTTGTGTCAGGAGCAACCCCTACCCTAAGCCTACCTTATACCATATACCATAGCCTTAGTCTTTCCTCTCCTAGAAGTGGCCTGAGTTTAATCTTTGAAACAGTACATCACTGCACGTTGTAATGTGTGGATTTTGGTTTCTGCTTTCAGAATGATGCGTTGGTAACTCCAGTGGTGGGTTTTCTAGACCACAACTTCCAGGCCCAGCCTAACGCTGATGAAGTTAAGGATGTGTTCCTCGTGCCTTTGGACTATTTCCTGCACCCCCAAGTCTACTACCAGAAGCACTTCACACACGCTAGCTACCATTTTGTTTTACACTGCTTTGAGTATACAAACCCCGAAACTGGTGTGAAATACGTAATCAAGGGAATGACTTCTAAACTGGCTGTGCTGGTTGCCTTAATTATCTTGGAAAAAAGTCCCTCCTTTGACATTGAGTTTGATCTCAATGACCTGATACCATCTTGTGAAAAGACCTTTCTTCGGAAATATTCTTCAAGCAAGTTGTGAAGACATCAACACTTGAAAGAACATCCATGAGGTCTGGTGTGAGCTTCTACACAGAGCAACATCAGCAAGTGGAACCTGACAGGTGTGAATGTTTTTTCTGCAAGGCAAATGCAAGGCCTTGCCTGGTTTCCAGATGCCCCTTTTCATCTAGAACACTAAAAGTCTTTCAAAACTGGAAAAGTGCTTTGGCAGAGCAGTATAATTTTACCCATGATGCCAATATTTTTATAGTTATTTTAGGGATATTTGGCACACAGTGAGCACTTAATAAATGTTTGTTGAATATATGACTGTGCAATGTTAATATTATTTTAAAGTATTTGAAATATTTTTAGTCCATCATTTCTCTTGACAGAAACTGCTGGCTAGCCATTCAAACCTACACGCTTGACACTATGGAGATAATGCTACCAATATGGTGCCTGTCTTGCAAGCATAAGGATCTGAGTTTGATCTCCATCACCCATGTAAAATGATTAAGGTATGGTGATGTACATTTGTAATCCCAGCATTAGGACACAGCACCAGGCAGCTCTGAGACTTACTGTCCCGGCAGCCTACCGTACTTGGACTGGTGGTCAGCCAGTAGGCCACAAGGAAAAAGGTGCCCCCACAGGTAGGTGAAGAAATCCCCTAAGTGGATGGCAGAATGTAAAGAATAGTCAGTGCCTGGCTCTCTGAGTGACTCTGTGAAGCAAAGCAACCCTTCAAATCGAGCAGTTGACAGAGGTCAGTAATGGAAGACAGTAATAAAAATTCTGTCATCTTTCTGCATTGTAATTTTGGGCCCTTTCATTGCAGTATTGCTGCAACCCTAAATAATATGCTGTAATACTTGAAACCCAAGCTCAAGGGATTGCAAGCAAAACTGACATCCCAGCTCTGACTCTTGATGTGAAAATTCTGTGATGTGCACAGACTGTCACAGGTACAAGAGGGGCCAGGTGGCAGATACCCACAGCAGCTTAAACAGAAGACCAGGAGAGGCCTATGTGCCTCCACATACAGCCAGTCACCTTCCAATATGCTGATGGCAAATAAAACACCAATTTCAAACACAAATCCTAAATCAGAAAGACGAGCATTTCAAACTACATGCTTTGAGATCTACTGCCTCCTCTGTGGCGGTAGACCATGCTTCAGTGCCAGCGGGGATTTCTTTGTTTAATTAGGATACTAACTGTGCCAAGGTCAGAGAGGCTGGTAAGTGAAGCCCTATAACCACAACTCTATGATGCTAATTTCACATCCTACTGTGTAGTAGTATTAGATTTTCGTAACTACAACTGAAAATCTGATGTCCACACTAAACCACGTCAGTCTGCCAGGGTAGTGTCCATTGCTGCTGAGGTTTTTTTTTCCTCTCAAAGTTGGCAGAGGCAAATACCCAGTCCACTGCTTTATGGCCATAAATGTTTAAATGGTGCAAATCTGGATCCAACCAGGAAAGCAGATGTTGGATGAGCATCCCCATTACCATTCTGTAACTAGCCCTGCATGAGCAGGCCTGGGCCATTTCTGAACAATTACAGAGGCATTTGCAAATGTGTATTTACAATCTGACAGCAGCATAATTGCTGGGTAGATGCCTGACCCCTCTGGTGCTGCCGAAAAGCCTCCTTCACAGAGTTTGTTGCTGTGAACTCCGCCGGCCTTGCCTGCTTTCTGAAAGGAGTTGAAGCAGCTGAACTCTGCAACCTGAAGACACACAAGTTAGGATGCTGCTTATTTATTGATAGCCACATTATGGTCCCTGTCCTTTATTAATTACGACTATGTTCAGGGCTCTAATTGAATGTTCAATCTAGATCAAATCAAAAGAAGTTGTTGGGGGCTGGAGAGAGAGTTTAGTGGGCAAAGTTCTTGCTGGGCAAATCTGAGGACGGACCTAAGCTCTATACTTAGAACCCAATGTTTTTGGAAAAGCCAGGCATGGGGGCACTTGTTTGCACTCAGGGCTAGGGAGGTGGAAGCAGCAGATCCTCCTGAGGCTCACCAGCAGGCAGCATGATGAAATGGGCAGACTCCAGGCCAGTGAAAGACCTCGTCTCAAAATACAAGGTGGAGGCCTGGGGAGATGGCTCAGTTGGTAAAGTGTTTGCTGCCCAAGCATAAGGACCTGAGTTTACATCTCCAGAATCCATGTAAAACCTGGACGTGGGAGTACAAGTCTACAACCTGGTACTGAGGGTGGAAACAAGTGGATGCCAGGGGCTTGCTTTCCAGACAGTCTAGTTGAAATTATGACCTTCAGGTCCAGGGAGAGACCACCAAAAATAAAACAGATGTGATTGAGAAAGACATGCTGAAGGTCAGTCCTTAGCTATCCACATGCAGTCACGTGGGGGTGATTACACCCAAATATACACTATTACACCATGCCCATATATACACAAAGATGTATAACAGTAACCTAAAGAATGATGCCCAAGGCTGTCCTCTGGCCTCCACATACATGTACTTATGAACACACACACACACACACACACACACACAGAGGCAATTGGCATAGAATCTACAGTGCTACTGACCAGAGACTGTTCTCTAGCCTCCACATACATGTGCCTGTGAACACACACACACACACACACACACACACACACTGTTAGGGAGTCTACAGTACTACTAACCAGATTAGCCTCAAGTATAGCAGTAATCATGAACAGACACTGCTGAAGACCAGCACCTTCTTTTTGCATCCTGTCATGATTGTAGTAAGAACCATATGTTGGAATTGATGCAGACACAGAAGAGTAACCTGTTTGCCAAGCTATGGAATGAGCCCATGTGCCAGTCAATAGATGAATGGACAAAGAAAATTTGGTATACACATAAAAGAGACTTTTATTTAGCCATATAGAAGAATGAGATGACATTTTTTTGTGAAGAAATGGGTGAAACAAGAGAGCATAATGTTAAGAGAACTAAGACGTAGAAAAACGAATGTCACATTTTCTGTCATGTGAATCTCGTGGATTACATAAAAATAGGAGAGGTGGTATGTCCTGGCTAGTTTTATGTCAGCTTGTTACAGCTAAAGTCATCTGGGAGGAGGGAACCTCACATGAGAAAATGCCTCCATAAAGTTGGAGTACACACAGGCAAGCCTGTAGGGCATGTTCTTAATTAGTGATTGATGGGAGAGGGCCCAGCTCATGGTGGATGAGGACACCCCTGGGCTGGTGCTCCTGCGTTCTATATAAGAACAGACTAAGCAAGTCAGTAAGCAGCTCCCCTCCACGGCCTCTGCATCAGCTTATTCCTCCAGGTTTCTGCCCTGTTTCAGTCCCTGTTCTGACTTCCTTTGATGGCAAACAGTGATATGAAAATGTCAACAAAATAAGCCCTTTCCTCCCCAAGCTGCTTTTGATGTCTATTCATATCAACAGCAACCCTAACTAAGACAGGGGAATGTCTGTGAGGAGACAGGAGACTAGTAGGAGAAGAAGGCAACTGGGTAATGCAGATGAACCGGTCCAAGAAACTCATGGTATGCATAAGCAAAAAATGTATTATGAAACCTGTTACTTCATGTAATAAATATGTATTAGGTTTTTTTTTAAGAAAAATATCAGAAAATTAGTACCTCAGTCCGCAATTCCTAGAAGGCACTATTTGGCCTACTAGGGTCCCATGCCAGGATTCCACTACTCTGTGATATGCAGGGTTCAGTGTGGATTGCTTGGATTACTCAAAACATCTCCTGTCTCCACTCTGATTTCATACGTGGTTCCGCCAAGGATACAGCCTCAACTCTGTATTTCTACAGCCCACGGCACTGATAAAGAACAGGGTAAGAGCTCAGGTCTTACATCAGGATGCTTAGGTGTGAGTACCACCTCCATCATCACCAACCCATGACTCAAACCTGTTGTCCATTCTCTGCTGGCTTCCCTACAACACAGAAGGGATGAACATTCCATTGATGGATGTTGTCCTGGTTGACTTATCTGTTGCTGTGAAGAAAAACAAAACAAAACAAAACAAAGCACCGACTTGCGGAGGAAAGAATTTATTTCATCTCATACTCTCAGTTAATACTATATTACTAAGGAATTTGGGGCAGGAAGTTAATGGAGGAAGTTGGAAGCAGGAACAGGAGTAGAGACCATGAGGCTGTTGTTTTGTAGTAATAGGGTCGATCCCAAGCTCTCATGCTTGCTAGACAACCATAAGACTACATCTCCATCATTTTACCCAGGCTGGTTTTGAGTTTATCCTATAGCCCAAACAGGTCTTGAACTTGCTGTACTCCTGCCTCAGTCTCCAAAGTGGCTAATTATAGTATTGTCATGACTATAACATATAACAATAGCAATAATCATTATTATTTCTCTAGTTTAAAACTGCCATTTTCCTACACTTGGGGTTCTAGAACTTTCTCAATGCAAAACCTTTCATACCTTAGTAATTTTTCCAAGGCTCATCTATGTGGAAAAACAACACTTAACAATGTTGTCTGTTCTACAACTCCACCCTAACAACCTAGTATGAATTTGTTTTACTAGCTTGCTAGCCATTTGGCAATGTGGTCTACACACACTGGAAGAAAAATATTGCTTTCCATTTCAGCCTTAACCACAGGCTTTATTACTCACATGTCAATAGAAGGTTTGAATGAGTGGTGTCATATGATAGACTACAGCCACACAGAGAGGAGGGGCAGAACTCAGACTGGGAATGCAGTGCTAGCTGTAAGCTGGGGCTGGTGACTGAGGAGATGGCATCCAGGCCAGTGAAAAGGCAGTGCTGAAAATGGAGACTAAGATTTATTAAACACAGATTGTAGCTAATTCCTGTGACAGAATACATAACCATTTAAGAGAGGACAGATTCATATGGGCTCCTGGTTTCAGAGAGTTCCAGTCCATCAGCACAGGGAGAATGCTGTAGAGAATCCTGGTCCGTGACAGTGAAGTATATGACAGATGCTGCTCATGTGATGTCAGATAAGGACACAGAGAGAGCAGGCAGGAATGAGCAGCTGAGTAAAAAACTCCACTGAACTCTCTTCCCACCCCTCACCCAGTGACCTATTTCCTCCAGGTAGGTCCCATCTTCTAAGGATTCCACACTCTCCTGAAATAACTCAACCAGCTGGGAAGCTTGTGTTCCAAATGAGCCTGTGGACAAATCCACCAGACTTCTTAAATGTCCAGCCTGGTGCCTTCATGACTTCATTGAACCCTCACACCATTATTTTTTGTATAGCAAGTATTTATATGGTACCTATTTTTAGATGAGAAAACTGGAAGCTCATGGTAACAGAGTTCATGAAGAGCAAAAC